CCAGCTGCTGCTGAGCACAGCTGCCGTCCAGCATCAGCCTCCGGTCCTGCCGTGCCTTGTTCAGAGGGTCGAGGGCCCAGTGTTCTCAGTGGTTCCCACTAAACAATCCACAGTGGGACTTGTTCTTGAGACACCTGGTTTTTATTTTATTTATTTATATATTTTTTTGAGACAGAGTCTCATTCTGTTGCCCAGGCCAGAATGCAGTGGCACAGTCTCAGTTCACTGCAACCTCCGCCTCCTGGGTTCAAGTGATTCTCCTGCCTCAGTCTCCTGAGTAGCTAGGATTACAGGTGTGTGCCACCATGGCTGGCTAATTTTTTATATTTTTAGTAGAGACGGGGTTTCATCATATTGGCCAGGCTGGTCTTGAACTCTTGACTTCATGATCCACCTGTATCTGCCTCCCAAAGTGCTGGGATTACAGGCATGAGTCACTATGCCAGGCCTATTTATTTATTTATTGTAGATGGAGTCTCACTCTGTCGCCCAGGCTGGAGTACAGTGGTGCCATCTCAGCTCACTGCAACCTCTGCCTCCCAGGTTCAACTGATTCTCCTGTCTCAGCCTCCTGAGTAGCTGGGAATACAGGTGCACACCACCACACCTGGCTAATTTTTGTATATATATGTTTAATAGAGACGGAGTTTCACCATATTAGTGAGGATGGTCTCGAACTCCTGACCTCAGGTGATCCACTTGCCTTGGCCTCCCAAAGTGCTGCGATTACGGGCATGAGCCGCCACGCCCGGCGGACACCTGCTTTTTAATGGCTGCACAGCGCTCTGCTGTAGGGGAAGAGAATCATGCACTTACTGCCTTCCTGTTGTTGGGAGTTTCGTTCATTTCCGTTTCTTTCCATCTTCCTCCTTTTCCTCTTCTGCCCGTGTATGAGCAGTCACTTCTGCCAACACGCCAGGTTGTTCCTTCCGGATGCTTTCCTGCAGTGGGGGCTTGATGGCAGTGGTCTCCTCCAGCCCCTCCAAGCCTTCTAAGCGACCACGTGTGTGCAGCTCTGGGGAGTGGTGGAGGCGTCAAGTGGCTTCACAAGGAGACTTTGGTGTAACCACTCCCAGCAGCCCCTGTCACCTCTCAGTGACTCCACGGGGAGATGATTCTACTTGCAGGGGAGCAGGGAGCATCTCTTCTGAGACATGAGTGCAGGGAAGCTTCGCCAGCCTGCATTACAGAAAGGCAGGCCATTCACTCATCCACAAGGATGTATTGCGTACCCAGCATGCCCAAGAGAATGTGCTGGACACCGCACGTGAGGCTTGATTCCTTCACTTTTTTGCGCAGAGAGATGTGGCCAAAATGAGATCTGATCAGCACAACCTCCCTGGCTCCCCAGGAGAAGGAGCAAGCTTATTTTTTGAGGCAAGTGAATTGTATCAGTCACGTCATCCTGAAGTTCTGTCCGCAGTGACCAGTGCATTTCCACAGACATACACTGACAGCTTGTTACATGCAAATGGGGAGGAAAGTGAGAAGAGGGGAAAGAATGATGGTTAACTGAGCTCACTTGATTTTAGTTAAACTTATTTTGTTACTAAGCTTATTTATTTTAGACTTATTGAATGTAACCTTATTTAATTCTCACCGCACCCCTCAGAGATGGGTCTTCCTGCCCCCATTTTTCAGATGAGAAAACAATTAAACCATTTTCTTTAATTAGGTAGCAGAGGCATCATTGTTCCAGACCAGCACTACTTCTTTTTTTTTTTTTTTAAGACAGGGTTTCACCATTTTGCTGCTCTTGAACTCCCGACCTCAGGTGATCCGCCCGCGGTGGCCTCCAAAGTGCTTGGATTACAGGCATGAGCCACCACACCTGGCCCCAGACCAGCACTTCTATTGGGGCTGAAATGAAAGTCTCGGCAGGTGCCCTGAGGAGGTGTGCCTCTCCCTGGCTGACAGATAGCGGGAGGCTTAGCAGAGCTTTGTGTTAGAGGAGAACCGTTAGAGAAGGGACCAGCAGAGGGGCCGTTCAGGCCAAGTCAGCAACAGACAAAGTTGGGACGTGTGGGTTAAGTGCACGGGTGAGGAGTAATGGAGATGTGGCTAAATGGGGTGTGTGTGTGTGTGCCTGTGTGTGTGCCTGTGTGTGTGCACGCGTATGTGTGCATGTGTGTGCATGTGTGTGTGCCTGTGTTGTGTGCATGTGCACGTGTATGTGTGTGCGCATGTGTGTGCATGTGTGCCTGTGTGTGCTCACGCGTGTGCGCCCCTGTGTATGCATGTGTGTGTGCACGCATGTGTGTGCGTGTGTGCGTGTGTGCATGTGTGTGCATGTGTGCCCCTGTGTGTGCATGTGTGTGTGCACGCATGTGTGTGCGTGTGTGCATGTGTGCCCCTGTGTGTGCATGTGTGTGTGTACGTGTGTGTGTGTGTGTGTGTGTGTGTGTGACAGCAACAGCAAAGGTGCCAGCATGAGTGGCTGAGACCCAATTTAGGTAGGCTTGGAGGGGCCCCTAAGGGATTTCATAGGCAGTGGGGAACCATGATCACTAGGCAGGGGAGGGCCTTCGGGAGCCAACCCTGAGCTCCACCGTTGCAGGGCATGTCTCCACGAGAATGAGCAGGCTAGCGTACTTAGGAGGACTGCCTTACTTCTTGAAGAAGTGGTGAAAATATTTACTATTTTAATATACTTTTTCTTTTTGGAAGATAAATGGATTAGGTCCAGGATTTCACCCTAGAGAGGATTTAGATCTTTCATCAGGAATAAGGTTTGAGTGTAAGAAGATTAAATGATGTTATACTGATAAGACCACAGAGTTTAAAACCACCCCCTACAACCCAGGGAAAGGGGGCAGCCAGGCTGGCAAGATCTGAGGCCAGAAGTGCTGGGGGGCTTTGGGGAGAGCAGCAAACAGAACGGAGCTAGACCTATCAAGGTGCCCCCACCAGGGTCCAGCCATCTCACCACACACATTCTGCCATACATGCCAGTGCCCAGTACATCCTTGCAGGTGAGCAAATGGCCTGCCTTTCATAATACAGGCTGGTGAGCTGTCACCGTGCTCATGTCTCAGGAGAGATGCTCTCTGCTCCCCTGCAAGGGAAATCCTCTCCCCTTGGAGTCATTAAGAGGTGACAGGGGCTGCTGTGAGTGGCTGGACCAAAGTCTCCCTGTGAAGCCGCCTGATGCCTCTACTACTCCCCAGAGCTGCACACAGCCACTCAGCAGGCTCGGAGGGGTGGGGGTGGGGGCACTGTTATCAAGTCCCCACTGCCACAATGACTTTGTCTGAGCTATTCCCCTGTGACCCTGCCTGACTTGCAGAAGCTGCAGAGTGGCCCACTCTTCCTGGGCATGTCAGGAAAACTTCGACATGGCTGGTCTGTTTCAGGCAAGGTCTAATTTGGTGAAAATTTGAAAGCAAGTTGGTGGGGGTGCCAGGGAGAAATGGGGAGAGAGAAAGATGCTGCATTTGATGGATGGCAATGGTTTGGAGCTGGTGTGGCGGCCTCTCTGGATGACAAGGACATTGCAGTTAGAGCCAGAGGATGGAGGTATGAATCCTGGCATTCCTGGTTTGTAGTTATGGAGCCTTGGCACAGACACTTGAATGAAACTTCCTTTGCCCAGCTATAAGATGGGCCCCTAATAAAGGCTGACTTTGCCCTGATCCTTCCCTGCCTGCTGGGATGTTCTCAGCATTTTGTGCACCTTGGCCAATTTAACCCTAACAGCAACCACAGAGGCAGAGGCTACTGCTGGCTATTAATATTCCCATGTCACAGATGAGAATGTGAGGCCCAAGGGGGTAAAGTCATGTGCCCAAGGCACACAGCCAGGGGTGCTTCAGCAGGCCACGTTGTGCGTCTGTGGCTTTTCCCCTGGCCACTTTGTAGCACTGGCACAAGAACGGCCCACGGGGTGAGCCCCCACCAGATCAGCCACGCTTTACTCCTCAGAGAGGGCTGGCAGAGCCTGCAGGTGAGGGTGGTGGTTGTGGAGAGGGGTGGGCAATGGTCTGCCCTTCATGTCTGTCCGGTTGTGGCTGCCACTGGGGAGACAATGCCAAAAAGTTTCCTGGAAGAAGCAGCTTCCAGAAGGCTTCACCATATCCTTGTCCTGCCAACTGGCCACGAATGGATTGGAAGATTCCCACCAGGTGAGAAGGCTCAGAAGCTACCAGAGGGGATGGCGGAGCGGGGAGAGACATGCATCTCTCACTGTGGGGCTCCAGGAGTCAGGCGAAGTCAGCTGGGGCCCCACTCCGGGTGGGTCCTCCCAAGCGGTCCCCTTCTTTCTCCTTCCCTCTGTTGCTTTTCTCTTCCTCCTCCCTCTTTACCTTTTCTTCTTCCTCTCTCTCCTTCCCACATTCCTCTCTCAACCTTGTTTCCACTTCTTGCTGCCCTTCTTGCTTCAACAAACGTTGATGCAGTCCCAGTTCCTGGGCTGAGGCTGGGGGATGGGAGTGAAGTCCTGAGGGCAGGCACTGCTGTGTCTCTCCAGCTCCCGCCCCAGCCAGGTCACGCCCTCTGCCCCACCCGCACAGCTTCTCACCACTTCATTCCTGCCCCCACCGCCCCTACCGCCCCTATACGCCACCAGGTCGCTCCAGTTTGGTACCAGTGCCTGGAGGGAGAGGCGCGGCCAGGGCTATGCAGCCTAGGATCCACCGATTGGCTCTCGCTGGTGTCTCAACTGCGCACGAACCAGCGCTGGGAGGCTCGGCTGGAGGTGTGACCAGGGCAAGGACCAACCTGACCCAGAGCAGAAGCGCTCAGAGTCCCATCCTGCCACGCCACAAGGAGGGAAGAAGGAAAGACACAGTGGCAGCAAAGAGCCCTCTCTCACCCTTGCGCCCCGCGCCCGCGCGCCTCCCTTCAGCCTCAGGACGGTGCCACCGGGGCAGTGAGTGGGTTCAGCACCCTGGACAGCACCGAGGTTGCGCTGCCTTTTGGGGGTCCCCTGGGCTGCTCCAGCTCCGAAGGGCAGCGCCCTCCGCCCGGGCGCCCCGGACCCCGCACTTGCCTCGGTTTTCCTCTCTGGACATCCCGGAAGCCGAGGCGTGCCGTTCCGCCTCCGGGCGCCGCTCCGCCGCCGCGCTTCCCAGGCCCGCGCCCGAAGCAGAGCCATGAGCACCGCGGGGTGCCAGGAGAGCCGCTAGCGCCATGGGCACCGGCGAGACGCTACTGGTGGGGCTGCTGGTGCTGGTGCTGGCCGTGGCGCTGCTATCCAACGCGCTGGTGCTGCTCTGCTGCGCCTACAGAGCCGAGCTCCGGGCGCGCGCCTCGGGCGTCCTCCTGGTGAACCTGTCTCTGGGACACCTGCTGCTGGCGGTGCTGGACATGCCCTTCACACTGCTCGGAGTGCTGCATGGGCGGCCACCGTCGGCGCCTGGCACGTGCCAAGCCATCGGCTTCCTGGACACCTTCCTGGCGTCCAACGCGGCGCTGAGCGTGGCGGCTCTGAGCGCGGACCAGTGGTTGGCTGTGGGCTTCCCGTTGCGCTGCGCCGGACTCCTGCGACCGCGCAATGCTGGCTTGCTGCTGGCCTGTGCCTGGGGACAGTCGCTGGCCTTCGCGGTCGCTGCCCTCGGCTGCTCCTGGCTTGGCTACAGCAGCGCCTTCGCATCCTGCTCGCTGCGCCTGCCGCCCGAGCCCGAGCACCTGCGCTTCGCTGCCTTCACCGCCGCGTTCCACGCCGTGGGCTTTGCGCTGCCACTGGCGGTACTCTGCCTCACCTCGCTCGGGGTGCTCCGGGTAGCGCGCAGCCACTGCCGGCGCATGGACACCGTCGCCAAGAAGGCGCTTGTGCTGCTCACCGACCTGCACCCCAGGTAGTTGCCCAGTGCGTGCCGACCGGCCCAGGCCAGGGACTCGGGCGCTCCCTGGGCAGCCTGCGGACATCATCACCGTTGCTCTGCCCAGAGCTCACCGCCGTGGGGCTGCCCCTGCATGATGCTCGCGGCGGTTTCCCGTTGGTTCATTGGTGCAGACACGGCAGTGGCCTCTGTTTCCTGGAATATGTGCTCACAGTGCACAGGGAGCTTTGTGCAGAGCGGTGGGGTGCGCGCCTCCGTGAGGGGTTCCCCGGGCCCTGCTGGGGGGACCTGGCCCCACTCCTCCTGTGCGTGGCTGTGGGACTGAGGCATCTGCTCGTTTCTGCCCGCTGCTGACCCAGTGCCCTTGCATGGCCTTGGGCTGTAAGTCTTGGGCAGGGCCCAGTCCCCTGTGCTTTCTGCTCATGACTTGGCAGGATTTCTCCCCTCTCTAGCTGGTGTCACCATGGTTCCAAGTTACCCCTGTAGGGTGTTCACCCTCAGCCCCCCTCCCCCGCCAGAACCCCCAGGAGGCTCTCCTGCTGGTGGGGAGGGACCCGATGAGGTGGCTTCTCCCTCCCTGAGGGCCCTAGCTTTGCCCCTCCCTCTGTCAGCAGGCCTGCCTCAGTTCCCTCTGTGTGGAGAAGGACGAGCCTGAGGGAAAGGAGGATCCAGCCCTTTTTTCCAGGCCTCCTTTATTTCACCTACAAAAAAGCAAGCCCGCTGCCTTCCATCGTTCTTTCCCCCTCTGCCATCCTTCCGTCCTCCTCAGGTTCTAGGCTAAACATCCTCCTGAAACCCTCCCGGCTCCCTCACTCCAGCCCCTGGGCTCTGAGCCTGGGCTCTGTCCCCGCCCTTCCATCATCCTGACCACTGTCCTTTGTCCCCACAGCGTGCGGCAGCGCTGCCTCATCCGGCAGAAGCAGCGCCACCACCGCGCCACCAGGAAGATTGGTGTCTCTATCGCCACCTTCCTCATCTGCTTTGCCCCATACGTGGTGACCAGGTGGGTCCTCGCAGTCGGGCTCCTGTCGTGGGAACAGCAGTGTGGGCTTGGCCTCAGTTGGGCAGGCCTCTGAATTCTCCCAGCTGGGTATCTGGAGGGTGGCCACCATCACAGGACCCTCCTCTACACCTGACGGACTGTGGGCCCTGCTGTAGCTCCTGGGAAAGACCCTGGAAGAGAGGTGACGCTGTCCCCTATCCTGTCCTCGAAATCAGGAGACTCTCCTGGGCACAGGCAGAGATGGGATCAGGGAATCAGCACCTGGCTCTTTAAACCCAGGAAGCTTTCGGTGTTAGGGGCCCTGAGACCAACCCAGACCTTAAACTCCAAGTCTCCTGGGCGTGGAGTCGGGAATCTGGGTGGAAGGTCCGGCTGGAGCCTCGGGGCAGTGACGCCGCCAGGTGAGTGCTCTCTGCTCCTCTTTCCTGGAGTCCTTGGCCTCAGCGCTTGTCCAGTCAGAATTACCTGGAGCCACAGGTAATTGGGAAAGATTGCGTGTAGAGAGCTGCTGGTGCCATTGTCACAGTGCAGTGCTGAGGGGCAGGGGAGTCTGCAGTTTTTGCCTCTGGGGTTCCTGGGTCACCTACTCGGCCACTCGGCCAGTACCTTAGCTCTACTCAAGGAAATGTGTGCACCCTGCCTTGCTGGATAGCACCATGGTTAGAGGGAGGCACGCTGTTTATCGGAGATGCCGACTGCTTGCTGTCATGTCTCACCTTTCTTGGAAGCCCGTGGAATTTTTGACCAGTCCCCTGCAGTGCCCAGGCTCTTTGGGAGGTCCCCACCTTGTGTGTTGTGCCACCCAGGAGGACCCTCTGAAGGAAGAAGCTCCTAGGAGGGTCCATGGCCCTCATCCTCAAGGGGCCCCAGGTCCCTGCCTCCGGGGAGGGAGCCGGCAGGAGGAGGGTACCAGGAATCCTGGCTCTGTTTGTGTAGGATCCTCCTGGGGTTGCTATCTAGTGCAAGCTTGTAGGGTATGCTGGCCTCTCCAGATGTCTGCCTGTGTTCCCAGGTCTCTGGGTTTCTTAGGTGTTGGGTGGGGGCAACAACTGTGTCCCAGGAACCCGGGAGGCCCCCGAATGCCCATGCAGAGTGGCTCGGGCTCTCCCCTGCCTGCCAGGCTCCCTCTGAACTCTTCAGAATCAGCCCTTGGGACACGAGCTCTTGACCACTGATCCCATCTGGCTTAGGGACAGGGAGCCAGGTTTCTTGGGGATCACAGGCACCCTCCTTTCTCACATGTGTATGTTGTGAGGGCACGTGTGTTTACACACATGCATGTGTGTGTTCATACACGTGTATGCACATGTGTGCAGAAGGCGAGTGCTGGAATTGCAAGAGCTCCAGTATTTAGTTTTGAAATTTTAAATGGATGAGGAGCGAGACTGGCTCACTCAGCTGTGCTGTCACGTTGATTCACGTTTGTGACTGTTATTTTCATGCGTGTGGACAAGGCCCTGAGCATGTGTGTGAGCACACATAGCTATGAGCGCACACATGAGTGTAAGAGGAAGAATCCCAAGCAAAGCCATGAAGCCTGCCTCTCAGAGTTGTTTCCACAGCTCCAACTCTGGGATCTGGGCAGCCGAGGCTCTCTTCTCTGTGAAAAATGTGGATACGGTACAGCATGAATGAGGTTATATATTCCTTCATGCACTCACTAAGCATTCCACAAGCTCCTACTCTGTGCTAGGCTTTGTGCCTGGTCCTGCAGTTACAAAAGCAAATGGAACACAGGCTCCTCTTGGTTCTGATGGCGGGAGATGCAGGTCAGCAAGACTCGGCAGGTGTTTCAGCAAGGCAGGGGCCTTGAGGGATGGAGTTGGGAGAAGCACAGCTGGATCAGAGTTCAGACAGACCCTCCTGACCGGCGCCTCTCGTGTCATAGGAGGGAACCCACACAGAGCCTCGCTCCCCAGTGCGTGCACGAGGTTCTAATGTGGTTGGTGGCTTAACCCACAGAAGTCAGAGACCCAGGAGCGCACGGTTCCTGCTGCCCCTTAGAAGTCAGTGCGCTCGTTCCAATCATTCTTCAATTGCTAAAAATATTTCAGAGCGCTTCTCCTGGGACTTGTTTTCAGAACTGGGATGCATTGTTAGACTCTTCTGTGGACATCTTGAAGGTGAATTTAATCTGGTTAGAAATAGCTCGAAGTCACCTTGAGCCAGCTCACATGGATAAAGTAGGTAAGAGAGCTGGGGACATAGGAGTTTTATTTCTTGCTTGTCACCCTTGAGTTTTACGGACTTAATCAATGGTGTGCAGATTAAGCCCCAGAGGTGTGCAGCACTGACACCGGCGGAGGGGCGGGGATACAGAGCCTCCCTTGTAGAGTCTGTGGTCTACTAGGGGAGGGGCAGATGGACACGGTCACCAGGGGCTGAGCATCAGTGGACACATGAGTGAGCCCCCTTCTCCACAGGGTCTGGCCGGTTGGAATCCTGGTGGTTGACACATGACTTCTGGTCCCAGTGTGGCTCTAGGCACAGCCTCAGCTCGGTGTTTCTGATGACTTCCACCTGCACTGTGGCTTAACCAGGGGACATGTGCATGCTGGGATGCCTGTGGCTTTCTGACTCAACTGCAGCTCAGTCCCCTAGCGACTGAAAGACATGCCATACTTCTCAGACCCGTTGATATGACCCTCCTTCCCACTGGCCTGATGGCTGGTTGTGACCAGTCTCCAGTCCATGCTTGATGGTGGGCTCCCTGGAGGTGGGGGTAACAGTGTACCTGGTGTGAATGTGCTGGCCAGTGGCAAAGCCCTTTCCGGACTATCACTTACTGTAATTGGACCCTCACTGCAGCCTGGGGTGGGCGGTTAGTGTCATGACGGCCTTGGACCCGTGTCCCTGCGCTGGTTTTTGGCTCCTGGATGCCTCTTCCTCTGGCCCTGCCCCTCCTCACCTTCTCCCTGCCCTCTCACTCTGGCCCTGCCCCTCAGCTTGGCTGCCTGCCTCCCCACCCCCATCCTGCTGGACTGGCCCCCTTGTGGCGAGGGATTCCGTCTGATCCGTTGCTGCACCCCAGCGGCAGCTGTGTCTGTGGGTGGTCAGCAGGTGGTCTCCAAACTAACGAGTGACCCAGCCAACCTTGTAAGTCACAGGGCTGCAGTCCTTCTGAGTAGGAGTGGGACATCCTGGGGCAGAAATTCACTGCCTGGGGGGTCATCAGACTGACAGGGAAGGCCTTGGCCTTTGGGCCAGTAACTGAGGGGTGAAACAGCTGCCGCTGGTCAGCAGGTACGCTCGTGACAGGTGTTAGAAGCTTTGTCCTGACTCCATGGCCTCCGCCCGGGGCTGTGCTGAAAGCAGAGGGGTCTGTCAGAGTCCCCAGAGGCCCACCCCCTGCTGCTTTCCCGTACTGGGAGCCCAGTTAGTCCCTTCCACTCCGAGTTCTAATCTGGTTTCAGATTAGAAATCAGAGATGCCCTCAAGCCTCTCTGAGTGATGCTTTGAGATGGTGGGTAGAGAAGTGCCCTGCGTGGTGTGCAGTGCCCCGGGCACCCCGTGATGACTTCTGTTCGTGTGGGTGAGGTGCTTACGCTTGCTCAGGGTCTGTTCTGCAGCCCAGGTTGACACCTGTTACTCCAACGTGGTTATTAGCCTTGTTCCGATTTGTTCTCAGCATTGCCCAGCTTTGGGAGACAAATGCCAGGGGGAGTCTGGTTGGGGGCTCCCAGAGCTCACATCTGGAGTGTGTTGGTCTGCAGCTTGGAAGTGGTAGTGGTCCCCTCGGTAGCTGGTTCTGTGAGCAGGTGTCTGTGGCAGGTGTGCGGGCAGGTGGGTGGACTGAGCGGAGTGTCTCAGGAGTGTGTCTTGTCACCCCATTTTAGGAAGAGATTCCCGAGGCTCAGGGTGCTGGTGCAGAGCCCCCTCGCTAGTGAGCGTCAGGGCTGTGGCGTGCACTCAAGTGTGGTTCTAGCGCCTTCTGCCCTCACAGTGCGAGTGTGTGGCGGGTGCTGCCACCGTGGCTGAGTCAGCTGCTCCGCTTCTCCAACAGGCTGGTGGAGCTCGTGCCTTCCGTCACCGTGAACCCCCACTGGGGCATCCTCAGCAAGTGCCTGACCTACAGCAAGGCCGCGGCCGACCCATTCATGTGCTTCCTGCTCTGCCGGCCGTTCCGCCAAGTCCTGGCTGGCATGGTGCACCAGCTGCTGAAGAGATCCCCGCCCCCGGCATCTGCCCACCACAGCTCTCTGGACGCAGAGAATGATTCCTGCTTGCAGCAGTCACTCTGAGGGCCTGGCAGTGCATTGACGCTCCCCGCCCCCTACCCTCATCTAAAGAGCCCTGTGGAAGGGACACTGTCCCTGCCGCAGAAACACTGCTGGGGACCCCCAGACACTGGCAGCTTCACTCTGGGCTGAGGCTGAAGCACAGGAGCGGGGAAGGAGGGGGCGGATGTGGGTGTGGGCAGCAGGAGCAGCGGAAGAGAGTTCCAGGCTTGACCCCCTGGCCGCTGGGTGGTCCCGGGACAGTGGCTTTTCCTCTCTGAGCCTCAGCTTCCTCACCCTTGTTCTGGGGTTGCGGTGGTGCTGCGAGACGGTGGGTAGAGAGGTGCCCTGCGTGGCGCGTGGTGCCATAGGCGCCCGGTGATGACTGCTGTTTGTGTGGGTGAGGTGCTCACTCTTGCTCAGGGTCTGTTCTGCATCCCAGGTTGTCACCTGTTACTCCATCCTGGTTAGTAGCCTTGTTCCAATTTGTTCTCCGCATTGTGCAGGTTTGGACTATAAATGCCAGGGGGAGTCTGGTTGGGGCTTCCAGCACTGACAGCTGATAGTCTGCGGACAGAGCCCAGCAGGCGCGGGCGACCCCTGGGATGCACCCATCTCTGGAAGGCCGGAGGTCCCCAGCTCCATGCCTGTCCACTGTGACTGCCTGAGCGGGCACACAGATGGAGCCTGCCTCCCTTCTGCCTTTCTGTGGTTTGCCGGGGGGTTTGGCATCTTGACTGGGAAGGATGTGAAGAGTCTGTGTGCTCAGAGCCTTTTCTGGTGAAGATATCATCGGAGCACATGACCTCTGCTTCCTTCCCCCGAAGGCCACCGCTGGGCCTCTGGATCCTAGACATGAGACAGTCAAGAGATAGAAGTCATGGCCAGGTCCCAGGTGTCTGGAGAACGTGGCAGGATGGGGAGGGCCTCACTCCTCAATGGCAGCTCTGGGGGGAGCCAAGAGAAGCTGGAATGCCCCTCAGTAGCGGTACACATCTCCCCCAGGCTTGAAATCTTGGGACGCCATTGCCAGGTGGGGGCACCGGCCATCGGTGTCATCGAATGTCCCCATGGGACAGTGTTGAGGACCTGTGTGCACATCTGTCCTATTTCACAGTGCAGGGAAAGAATGGTGTGCAGCGCACGCGGGCCTCGGTGGAGAGGGGTGTGCGTGAATGAATGAGCGGCTGAATGAATGGACACAGCTCTCTCTCCAGCTCCTGGCATTGCTGTTTTCTTCAAGGCCCAGGGCCGTCCCCTGCAGAAGCAGGAGGGCTGCAAGACCTCCACTCAGGGGACTCTCTGATGGAGAGCCCGCCCACGGGCTCTTGCACATGTGGAGCCTGTATCACAACACCCTACACCAAAGGTCGGCAGTGCAGGGAGAGCGTGGACACCACGTTCTTTCCTTCCAGGGGTGGAGTTCTGCACAGACGCGGCACACGCAGCTGCCACTGGCTCTTGGTATTAACAGTGGACAACCCAGCTGAGGCAGCTTCACAGATTCTTCTCCAAAAAATCCGGGTGTTATTTTTTTAAAAGCGTTTTGAGACACGATCTTTCTCTGTTGCCTAGGCTAGAGTGCAGTGGTGCAATCTCAGCTCACGGCAACCTCTGCCTCCCACGCTCAAGCCGTCCTCCCACCTCAGCCTCCTGAGTAGCTGGAACCATATGTGTGTGCCACCGCACCTGGCTAAGTTTTGTATTTGTAGAGATGAGGTCTCACTTTGTTACCCAGGCTGGTCTTGAGTTCCTGAGCATAAGTGATCCACCGACTTTGGTGGGCCCCCCAAAGTGCTGGGTTCCGGGCGCGAGCCACGGCGCCTGGCCAAAACCAGGTGTTATTGCTGACTCACCAATGCCTCCCCCAAAAGGATGCATTTAATTAAGAGAGTTTGTCAATCATGAGGCGTAATTCAAACAAAACAAATTACTGTTTGGAATAACAGCAACTCTAGGTATGTGGTCAGGAAGCAGTTAAAAACATGAGAACACACAAGCATATCCGGCGAGTTCCATCCAACCCAGCACTCCAGCCCTCCGAGACCTCCAGGCTGGGCCCTGCGCCCTGTGTGTGGGGAGTGAGGGCGCCTTCTCCCGTTGTTTTGATGGTAGAGCCGAAAGCTTGGGAGGCTTTCCCCTGGTAGGCGGGAAGCAGAGAGCCCGGGACGGGGTGGGGGTGGGGGCTGTGAGGCTGGCAGGGAGCTTGCAGGACAGAACTGCTCATTTATTTTTTGGGGGACCAAGGGATTTTTATTGATTCCATCTGTCGCAGGGCTGCAGCAGTCCATGACGGGTGGGGCAGAGGGAGGCCCTGTGGGAGCCCAGAGTGACAGGCCTCTTGGCTTGACTTCTTGTCCTTTCAAGACCGTGATCTGTTTCTCTCGAGCCTCCCTCCTGCTCTCACGGGCTGCAAACCCAGGCCAGATGGGGTTCTGAGCCAGGAGCCCTCTCTCCATCCCCTCTGCACTCGCTGACTTTGGCCCTCCTCCTGCCTCACGTGGGCACCCATCCACGGCCAAGCCTCCGGAGCCCTTCCCGGGCCCTGGTGAAGCGGCCCTTCCCTGCACCCACCCTCCATCAAGCAGAGCAGGTTCCTGGAAACGCGGCTGAGAGCAAGCTGTGCTCCTACCGGAAGCCCCGAGGAGTCCCGCGCTGTGGTCTCTGCTGTGAGCCTGGCATTGCTGGCCCTTTCTGTCGTCTTCCCCACTGCTCCCCACTCCGATCCACATGGCCTCAGGCTAAAGTGCTGGGTGCCCTGGTCTACCGGCCCCTCCTGGGGGCTGCATCCTTTCTGGACCTTCTCTTAGTACTTCCTCCTCCTCTGCTGAGCCAAGTCCCTCCAGCTGGCTGAGACGTACACACCCTCCCTCTTCAGCTCTCACAGGCCCAGCGCCCCTCTCAAGGGTCCAGCCACATGGCAGGTAGGAGTGGGGTCAGATCCACTTTTGTCCCCAGCACCCGCTGTGCAGCATGCACACGTCATGTCTCGCTGGGGCGCAGGCTTCCAGCCACTGATGGGCTCTTCTGGTCTGCCACGGTTCCCTGACCCCATCCCCATGAGCCCCGAGGTGGGCACTACATAATTTCTCAGTGGAGAGGCCCAGGCTCGAGGGGCCAGGCCACTGGCTCAAGACTTTGAGCAGTGAGTCTGTGCTCTTTTTTTTTTTTTTTTTTTTTGAGAGGGAGTTTTGCTCTTGTTACCCAGGCTGGAGTGCAATGGCCCGATCTCAGCTCACCGCAACGTCTGCCTCCCCGGTTCAAGCAATTCTCCTGCCTCAGCTTCCCGAGTAGCTGGGACTACAGGCGCAGCTAATTTTTGTATTTTTAGTAGAGACGGGGTTTCACCTTGTTGACCGGGATGGTCTCGATCTCTTGACCTCGTGATCCACCCGCCTCGACCTCCCAAAGTGCTGGGATTATAGGCGTGAGCCACTGCACCTGGCCGAGTCTGTGCTCTTTTGATGACACAAGGCGGCTTCTCTCCTAGAAGCTTGTCCTGCAGCCCACCCCCACTCAGCTGTGGGCCTACCCACCTGGCCCGGGGGGGCTGTGCTGTTTGTGCCGCACCTGCTACTTTACTGACCCCACTGTGACTGCGCAGGCGTGGCTGTGTCCTGGCCCCATGGCCCACTGCCCCCTGGGCTGGCTGGACAGTGTGTGGGGATTGGTGGGGCCGGAGGACTTGTTTTCCTAGTCACACCCAGGCATGATTAACCCCGTCCTGTGATTCGCCCCTGAAGAACCATTTGGTGGGTTGGACCCTCGTCGGTGAGATGCTGTGAATTAGAGGCTGTTCCTTCCAACTTAATTGTAGAGGAGAGAAGCTGGTTCCAGGAAGGATGACCAGATTCTTCTCCCCCCGAGTCTTAAAAAGTGACACGAGCTAGCACTCACTCTGTCTCCTCAAATCTAAAATGCCTTTGATTTGACGCTGTCTCACTGTTTTATTACCGCTGGGAAGGAAAAACTCAAAGGAAGGGCTGTGCTGGGAGATACCCTCACAGGTGGGCCAGTCATCGCTGGACTAAACCTGCCATAGCAGGGGCAACAGGGAGGCGCCATGTCCCCACCCCAGCGCTCAGGGAGGAGAAAACCCTCCCCACCGGTCTGCACACTGTCTGAATTCGCCCTCAGACTTGGGCTGGAAAACTCAGACAGGGAAGCCAAAGGGCCATGGCCCGGGGGGCTGGCGGGGGCGGTCAGAGGTGCTTCTGGAGGACTCCGCTGTGTCCAGGCAGAGAGGGTGGCACTGGGCCAGATGCCCCAGATCCCAGGGGTGTGGAAATGGGCATCCTGGAGCAGATGACCTCAAGGAAGCAGCACCCACTGGGTGCCAGTGATGAGTTGGGGCCACAGTGGGTACTGTTTCCATTATCCCAACCTCTGGGTCAAGAGGCTTGTCCTGAGTTTCAGGGCTGAGGGGCAGCTGGCTCCGGCGCCTGGTGCTGGTGCACTGGTACAGCTGGTAAGGGAACCCATGAGGCATATGGCTCCTAAAGGTTCAGCCGCCCAGCAAAGCCCACTCTCCTCATCCACACGGGGGACAAGGGTGGGAAGGTGGGGACAGGCCCTGGGCAGGAGGACTTGGCCTGGCTCACGGCCAGCTGGGGTCAGCACTGTGGCCAGAGCCCCCTCGCCACACAGACCCAGCCTGTGCAGGACGGGGGTTTTAGGATCAGCAGGCAGTCCCCGGAGCAGCTCCACAGTGTGCTCGGGTGGCAGATGGGAAAACTGAGGCCCAAGGAGGGGCGGGGGTGGGGGCCCTTCGGAAGGGGCGGGGTCCTCCGCCCAGAGCAGACAGGGGCATTGATCTGCTGTCCCACCCCCTCCCCCAGCGGCATCCTTTCTCTAGCTTCTGGCGCTGCCCACTGTAACCCGACTCCTGCATTTGCGTTTGGGGCGCCCTCCCTGCGCTGGGGGCGGGAGCCCAGTGAGTGCAGAGCCCCGGCCTGCGCAGCCCGAGTGCCACATCACTGCGCCCGCCCGCGGGCCCGCCACCCCACCATGCTGCCCCTGCCGCTGCTGCTGCTTGCCGTCCTGGTCGCCGCTGCTGCCCGGCCCGGGTGCGAGTTTGACGGGAGCCTTGCCGGTAAGGCCACCCCTGCCCCCATCCTCCACCCTGCAACTTCCGGGGAGTGTGACCCGTTGCTTCCCAGGGGCCCATGAGCTTTCTCCCCGCGGATCACACGCCCATGGCCCCGGCGACAACATCTCCAAAGTGGGCACCATGTGGCCTGAGACTGGTAGGGTGACCTCGCCCCTGGACCAGGGCACCAGGCGGGCTCTGTGTGGCATCCAGGCGGGGGCACCAGGCTGCAGAGGGTTACCATGCCTGGGCCGGGGTGAGGTCCCTCTCCTGTTGGGCACAGGAGCTGGGTGCCCTACAGGTGGGTCCGAGGGAGCAGGTGCCAGGACTTTGCCAGAGGCCATCCAAGGTCCCGGAGTCCTTCCAGGAACG